TTTCCACACGTAAAAAAAAAAAAGGTATATATGAATCGCAAGCGGAAGCTTCGCGATACGCGTGAGGCGTGCGATCAGCAAGAGTGTGTGTGCGTGACAAGTAACACCCGAAGTGATGAGCAACATTGGAATGGGAAGAGGAAAGTAAATAACAAATGTGACTAATGGTACAAGTATACGTATATTTTGCAATCGGTTAAACATGTATGTAAAGGTGTAAGTATGATGTAGATCGTCCACCACCACCACCACCACCACATATGATAGTTAAAGCAGTAAATCGAGAGCAGCTGTTCGCTGAATCCACCAATCGCGCAATTTGAATACGTTTGATATTGCGCAATGATTGACGTGACGTCTGCACCGCAACGAATCAACCGCGGTCAAATTCTGTAAACGGTCGATGTCCTCAAAATCCACGTCTATGGACTTGACATTGCGAATGGGGCTGCCAAGTAAATCCTTGAGCCAATTCATCTTCTCAAGTCCTTTCACATAGATCGTTGCATTGTTTTCCAACCCTTTGCATATGGTTCGCCGTATGATGTCCTTGGCGCGGATGTATGGAATGTCTCCATCACGCCATTGTAGTCCGTGATGATTAGCAGTCAACCAACACGCTTGAGATTTTTCGGATCTTGTCAAAAAATCCCAGGCCATCGGTGCGTTGAAGACGTAATGTGTCAATACATGTTCGTCCCGCAGCACAGCCACCTCCTTCACTACAAACTTTCCGCGAACGATGAAGCCTTGTAGATCGACGAAGACTGGAACGGTGGACATGTTGAGGAGTGATCCGGAAGACTTTATGCTACACAATCTTGCGTACGACGTTCGTCAACGGGCTGTACTGAATGACTCTATCATGAATGATAAGACAATACGCTATGGTGTCGGATGGAACGTTATCCTTGCATTCAAACTCTACGCGAATGTCCACGGTGGCGCTCTTCACAGCCTCGTTCTGACGAGAGCAATCGATCACTACGAATGGGCCGGACGTTATGAATGATTGTACATTTAGATACGCATCATCGAGCTTTCGTCCATAGTACGATCTCTGAAATTTTGCATACATGTCGTACAGTATAGCAAACTTATTATTATCTATATCCCGATTCATATCATCATAGGGATAGAAATCTGAATTCAAATACAGTTTGACGTTGGTGAGCTTGCAATGATCGAAAGGCGAAGAGTCGCTTGTCAACACGTTTCTTCGTCCAGTCTGTAGCGCAAAGATAACGTATCGCGGTTTCTCTAGTTGCGCCGTGGTTTTTACAGCCCACGAGTGCTTGGTCGTGCTCTGCAGTAAAGGAAATTCATACAGATCCCACGAGCGAAATCCAACGCTTAAAAATCGTCCGCTCTCCAGTGTTCGCAAAAGCGATAATTTGTTAACGTCGTTCAACACAATGTGCGGCATTCGCCATTGCACCCTCGAAAGAACGATTTTAGGATTCTTAGCACTCGCTGTCGCTACGATGCAATTGTTATCGTTGCGCGCGCGTATCAAAATAAGTTTGTGTCGAGCGTTCACCACCACGCGTTTGTAATCCTCGCAAAAGCCTAATAATATTCTCATGGGGACGCACAGGCTGAAAGAACCGCTATCGGAAACGTTTGGCTCACCCCATCCAGCGTTCTACAATATATCGAGCTCGTTGGAGGTCAACGAAATGTAATTCTTAATCGTGCTGGTTATTCCAACGTTACGATTTCAATCGATCTCTACGCCATTGAGCTCGTAACGTAACGTATCTCCTCGAACATGAAGGCGACGCGTTGCTCGTAAGTTTCGACGTCTGATTCGTCGTCGATGCCTCATCGGACAATTTTCCCTCCACGTATAGAGCGCTTTCGCACGGTAAAGTGTACAGATCCTGCTGTTGTATGGGTATTCGTACTTCAGCGCTGTATCCGAACGTTGCATTGGCGTAGGGGTTGTATGTGTGAGTTTCAATCTTGACGATGCGCTCGTCGAAAATCGGTTCACCTCCGATACTCAGGATGTCGACCACCATAATTCTTGTTCCTCACAATGAATCCGAGCGATCGTAGAAACGCGATGTTCGCAGCGCTCAACAGATATCCGTTCTCTCGTCCTCTTCCTCTTGATCCTCCTCCTCCTCCTTTTCTTTCAACGTAGGGAAAAGACGCGTTTTCTTTTTTCATGCATGAATCACCAACAATGAGCATGGTATAACGTGTGTAGCATATCTCACGCTACACGTTTTCTCACGTGCAATCGTATCGTTATCTCTTCTCCGCGAAAATCAATCGGATGACCGTTTTGATCCACCACTCGCAATGTTATATCCGTGATGCTCCTCACGATGACCGGTAGGTAAATGATCTGCATCGGCGTTTCCGACACCTTATATCCCGGTGGAACACTCGGCACGAACTCGTGTATCGTATGTACTGGTTTGTCGTTGTTGTACGCCCCCGCGGTAATGTTGCATTCCACACGTATGACGTTGACACTCATGATATTAATTGGTTTGTCAGACACGTACCATTTGTTCGGTTCCAATACACGTGTTGCTGAGAAACCTAATACGGAGCCAATATTGTTTGGTTTTGAGAAATCTACTCTGTACATACATTTTATCTCAGTCCTCATAGTATTTTCATTGGCGCGAAGAACAATGTTATATTGGTTTTCCTTCTCCTCGTCATCATACTCATCGTTGTCGTACACGCGATACTCGTTGAGGAAGACATCGTCATCCTTTGACTTTTCCAATCGTCTGTCGAGAAGCGCAGCTTTGAGATATCTATCGATGGCACGCAACTCGTACGATCCTTCGGGAATGACGATCTTTTCGTCGTTCTCCCCAAAGTAAAATGTATCGTTCGTTGAATTAACGTTCGGTATCGTGTTGTAGGTCTCAAAATTTGCAAGACCCAACTCGTATTCACCGTCACTGAGATCGAGAGCGGGAAAATAGCTCGCGACGAGAACACCGCTCGTTCCCGTCAGCGTGAGCGTCAGCGACATTATGGTCGAGTCGACTGAACTGTATCTCGAGTGCGCTGGTTTTTTTTATCTAGGACGCGTCCAATCGAATTCGTAAAGAAATCGCAAACACAATTGACCGCAGAAAGTCTGATTGAATGTTTGATACGATTGATGATTGTACGTTACGTTGGCGTCCCCTAGATAGCGCGTGAGTTCTCGCGGAGGTTGAAGATTTCCAAAACTGTCAAAGTATACAACACTGTTCACCTTTTTCGCATAGGCAACCCAATGTGTACCCGGACCCACCTTGTCGTCGAGATTTACGATGCCACACTCCTGACGTCGCGCTTTTACGGGTAAATCGTCACGCATGAACACCCCTCTAAAGTGTGGTATGCGTAGTTTACGCGCCGCTCGATTCAATTGTCCGCTCGTCGTGACGTCAAACATCGGTAAATTGAGCACCTCTAGCGTCTCCGTCCACGTTTTTTTTTACTTTTCCCACTCTTACCGCTTCTTTGTCCACCACCTCCATGTTTTTTGTACGGTGCGAGATGCAATCCGCGACCCTCCATCGTCCCATTGTGACGTTGCAACTCCTCTAACTGACGTC